AAAAAAAAAAAAAAAAAAAAAAAAAAAAAAAAACCCAAAAAAAGCAAAGCACAAAATAAATAAACTTATAATAGTTAAGTGACTATCTTTACTCCCTCTACTACTTTTTCCTTATGAATCTATGTAAGAAAATAAGTAGAAACTGTAATTAATAAAGAAACATCAGATATATAAATGGAATATCAATTCCACTATCTTTTTAGTCTTGTAGTATTTTAGTTAGAAACTCACCATGCCTGGTTTATGCTTTAATTCTTCTATGCTTCTCAGAATTAGACATGCTTTGGAAATATTACCTTAAGAGATTCAAAACAAAATCAGCACCACAGTGAAGAAAGTATACTGGGGAGAGGGCAAGAAAGTTTACTTCATTCCATCACTTTTCCTTAGGGAAGGTAACATGAGTCTTTGTAACATCTTTTTTTTTGAGATAGAGTCTCATCATATAGATCAGTCTAGACTTGAATTATGTTTCTCTGGCTGGCCTTGAACTCACAGCAATCCTTCAGCCTCAGTTTCCTGAATGCTAGAATTTACAGGCATGCATTACTATGCCTGGCTTGTAACATCTTTAAATACACAAGCTTTGGGGTCTTGAGGATAGTGTACAGTTTTACACATAAGGACCACGACTCATAAGGAAATAACAAAGCTTGGTGAAGCTCACAAAAAGCTTAGCAGCAGAGTTGCTACAGAAAAGAAGTCTTTCAATTGCCAATCTGTTGGTTTCTAGTTATCAGACTAACTTGAAAGTGGTCATGGGGACCTTTCCCCAAAGGCCTTGAAATATGCTGTTGTAGACATGAGTGCAATGGAAAATTTGTGGGGTTAAGATTCTGATTTTCAGCTGGGTGTGGTAGCACATACCTGTAATCCCAGGCCTCAAGAGGCTGAAGTAGGAAGATTGCAGAGTTCGAGGTCAGCCTAGGCTACACAGAGCTCAAGACCAGCCTGAACTACAAAATGAGACCCTGTCTTAAAACAACAAAAACAAAAATATTCTGATTTTCTATTCATTGAAAACCTCAATAACTTGAGAGCCCTCGTTTTCAAAAAAACAAAAACCATGACTGACTCAATAATTTTAGAATGATAAATAGAATGAAATTTGCAAAAATTTGCAAGTATATTAGCAGCAGTTTTAAATTTTTCTTTAATTGTTGCTTCATTAAGGAGCCTTCTTAGACATTTTTTTCCTAATTGCTGACTCCCCTTTCCTAATCCATGAAATTTTCATTTCTGCCATTCCAATAGCTAAGCTTTTGTTGACTACTTATCACTCTCATTGAGAAGGTATGCGCTACATCACAGCTGTCTAACAGAATTTCCTGTAGTGATGAAAATGCTCTATTAACTGTGCTAACCAATATGGTGGCCACTAACTGCATGTGGCTACTACATTTCGGAAGAATGGCTAGCACAAATGAGGAACTGAAATTTAAATTTAATTTTGATTAAATTTGAAATAATTACATGTGGCTGGTATACTATTCAACACAATTTTAGGAAATCACTCAAGGTTGGTTCAAAATAGCAAAATATTGACAGTTCTCTTAAGAATTAAACATATCAGTTATTAAATTCTACAGGTGGCCAAGTATAGATGAAGGATAAAAAGGCCAAGGTAAGATATACTGGAAAGAACAACATAAAGTAATCCTTTTCTTATTCACGCAAATATTACAGGTGGCAGATATAAAAGCATTTTTACACATGACATGTAGAAAATCTGAGTAAGAACTTTTGGAACAGAGGAATCTTTTCTTCTACTAACCTTCAACACCCAGACTGAGGTTCATTCTCATGAAATAGGAAAAACCGCAAAAAAGGTCACTAAATGCTGGAGATCACACAACCTAGCTTCATGATTGAAACAATAATATGTGTGCCTTATCATTTTACAAAAACTTTAAAATCAAATATTAGTACCTTGAGAAATTTTCAACTGTGCCATGGTCAGCTTAATGTCAGCTGCATTTTCTGGATGCTGATCTGAAAATTCCTAAAATATTTTTAATTGGGAAAAAAAAATCACAATCCACACAATTATAGTCATTACAATTACACACCTCAGCTAAAAAAAATTTTCAAGTATTAAACTTATTTCAGGTCAAATTCTTAACTTGGAAAAAAATTTACTTGACATCTGTTTTGCTTTAAATAAGGTATGCTCTGAAAGTATAATGTAGTAGCAAATTTTCTGGAAGTTACTAATAAAGAAACAATACAGACTACTACATAAACTTTTTTTTTTTTAAGGAAGATATTCAAAGAGTGCCTCCTTATTGATGGTCTTTTATAGGCAACTTTGAGTCTCAGGACAATCCTAATATTACCTTGTCGATCTCTCCAACAGTCTCTACTCATGAAATTCAAACATGTAATATTAGCAGGTGTGGGTTAATAAAAACTAAGTATCTCCCTAATTGTTTGAGATTTTGGAGTAGGAATCGCCAGAGAATACACTATTGAAACAGAGGGTTTAGTATTGGTATTAAAAGCCTAAAATCAGCCCCTAACACATTAAATGCATCATCAAATGAAAGCATTCTTCAGCGCTTATGTAAATTTATATGTAAAACAAAGCTATAACATAAGGATTAATTAAGGTGATATTTTAATTTATCTAGTGGTAGAGTATCTATTAGCTTTTCCATTAAACTTACAAGCTTACAGTATAAGGAAACAAAACAAGGGTGCCTGATACTTCATTAATCCAAGAATAATGTCTTTACCTGAAGCAGCTCTATTGCTTTTGTGTGCTGCTTTTCCCGGCAGAGCTGGGCTGCTTGGATTAACACTGGCAGGAGATGCTCAGGACTTTGGGACTGTAAACCAGTAGATATTTTGCGACATTGCTCTGCCTATATGTTTCCCCCAGAAACAAAAATGAGATAGTGAAAATGCACACTAAATAACCAAAAAGGAAAGAAATGGAAAACAGCTGAAATAAAAATAGGTGAAGAACTGCTGATAGAAAATCAGTTTAATGCATCCATTAATTTTTTCTTAAAAGAAAAAATTTCCACATACTGAGTATAAACTATGAGTTCTAAAAAACCTTTTAACAAGTTCTAACCATTCGTTTCAATATCTAAATTACAGATTAAAAAAATGCATCAATTATTAAAAACCACAAGACATATTAGTAACGACTCAGTTTTTAAATAATAAAAATGTTACTGCCTCACTCTCCCATTAAAGATTTATATTCTAGACAAGTATGAATTTTGAATTAAAATGCATATATTATATTAGAATTGATCTCTGTAACATGTGTAATTTGTGATTATCCCAATTAAAATGGAAAGAATCTTAAATCTATAATCATACGGGCATCTCTTATGATTCTTTTATTTTTTGGCAGTACCGAGGATGGAACTCAGGACCTTGTGCTTGTGAGACAGGCACAGTGCCATTGAGCTAAATTCCTGGCCCTGATGATTCTATTTTAATACAGAGAGACTAAAAATAATGAGAATGTCATTTCTTTAAAGGTAGTACTGTCTTCTTTCTCTTAAAAGCCATTAACCTATTTTACACAGAACTGGGTAAATTACTTGTTTAAAAGATAAAATCTATGACACACGATACTCTGAAGAAATAAGATAAAAATATTAAAAAACAAAACAAAACAAAAATAACTTAAACTGGGGATTTAGCTCAGTGGTGCCGCCACCTGCCTCACAAGCGCAAGGACCTGAGTTTGATCCCCAGTAAAAAAACAAAAAAAAACAACAACAACAAAAAAAACAAAAAACAAAAATAGTTTAGACTAATACACCCAATATGCCTCATATGCCATACAAAAGGTTTAGCCAAGAACCAGAGGCATATTACTTACCTGGTTTGTGTACATAGCAAGTAAAGCTTTGTTAAATTCTATGGCTTGCAGTTGTTTCTTGGAAAGTTTAAACTCTACTCCTTCTGCGTTGGTTAATTTCACCTTCTTCTTGGAGTCAAAGACATTTTGGTCCTGACCAAAAAAAAAGTTCACCCACCATTAGCAGAATATCTAATTTCAACTCTTTTGTGATCTTTTTTTTTTTTTGAGACAGGGTCTCACTATGTAGTTGAGACTAACCTGGAACTCACTATGTAGCCTAGGATCGTCTCGAACTCACAGTGATCCTTCTGCCTCCAGCCTCCTGAATGCTGGGATTACAGGCATGCGCCACCATGCCCGGCTCTCTTGTGTGATCTTATTTAGTTATTTTATATAAACACAAGAGAGCTTGGATGTAAATACATGTTGGGGCATCTAAACCAATAAAATGCACATAAACTTGTCTCAGGTTCTTGGTTCAGTTATAAAAAATTCTCTGCAATTCAAATCCACTAGTATTCATATTTTAAAATTTCTTTTTCTTTCTTTTTTTTTTTTTTTTGGTACTGGGGATTGAACTCAGGACCTTGCACTTGTGAAGCAGGCGGTGGCACCACTGAGCTAAATCCCCGGCCTGATGTTCATATTTTTAAATCACAGTTTAGCCCCACTCCTCTTATAGCCTTCTAAAAACAGGATTCCTTTTTCTAGGTAAGAAAAGGTAAAAAGTGGGCTGCTTTGAAGGGGAGAACAAGACTTCTGTGTTACGTTTCCCCTGTTAACTGTTTCGAGCTTTTTCAAGAAAAAAAAATATAGTAATTATTGTGTATCAGGACTACAAAAATACCTGTGCAATTTCGCCAAGCTATGCCCTTTAGAATTTAAAGATGATAAATGAAGTAACTTATTCCTTTTGTTCTTTTCCAGTACTGGGAATCAAACTTAGGACCTTGCGCTTGTGGAGTGCAGGAACAGTGCCACTAAGCTAAATTCCTGGCCCAGATAATCTATTCTTGATAGAAACCATCACTATATTAAATACATCATTAAACAAACTTTAGAAATATTCACACCACTCTGGAACCCACCCAAGTAATACATCGTCTGTTTGTCCTGTTCTAAAGCCCTTCTTTGTCAACTACGAAGAAATACAAGCTCAGTTTCTGAAATTTTTGTGTGGGGTGATACAGTATCACCTGCCTAATAGAAGTTCTGTTAAGAATAATAGAAAATCACAAGCCTCTCAAGAAAAGGAGACAACTAACTCACTGCATTAAGACAAAGTAAGCATTCGAGTATCTACTCATCAGCCCATTTAAATGATATAGTTACTTACAAATAGGTGCTTTATAAAATAATGTATTTACAAACAAACAGATGATACAACTTTTATTTTTCATCAGCACTGAGGATTAAACCATTGAATCACATCCTATATATACTTTTTAAAAAGTTTTAAGACAGTCTCACCAAATTGCCTGCCCTAGTTTCAAACTTGCAATTCCCTGCCTCAGGCTCCTGATAGCTGGGATTACAGGTTTGTACCATCATGAACAGCTAAAACTGCTTTTTTTTTTTTGGTACCAGAATGAACTCAGGACCTTGCATTTGTGAGGCAGGCGGGGGAACCAGTGAGCTAAATTCCTGGCCCTTATAACTCTTAAAGGAAATCTTCCACTAGCTTAAAAACAAAAAGCAAATAAAAAGTCTAAGATAATAAATTCTACTTTTTCTGATTGTGCAGCACCAAAAGCAACCTGAAATTGGACATGGTGATATATATGTGCAATCCCAGATACTTGGTTGGTTGGTTAAGACAGTGTCTCACTCTGTAGCCCAGGCTGGCCTTGACTTAATGAGCCTTCTACCTCAGCCTCCCAAAATGCTGGGATTACAGGCACGCAGCATCCTGCCAGCTATCCCAGCTACTTGGCAGGCAGAGCAGGAGGATGGCCTGAGACTGTAAGTTTGAGGCCAGCCTACACAACACAGTGAGATCACATCTCCAAACAAACAAAATCAGAACAGTAAACGTGAAACTATTTTAAAGTACAGCAAAAAAATGCCTTTTATATAATTCAATCCTCAAGAAACCACATTTTCAAGTATTCCTAGCTACTCAGGAGGAGTGTTTGAACCCAGGAATTTGAAGCCAGCCTACGCAATATAGCAAGACCCTGAAAAAAGGAACCAAACTTATAGGTTTGTTCTCATGTTACTGTTTTATACTTTAATTCTTCGTGTACAGCAATGAGATTAAACTCTGCCATGACAATTATTAAAAAACTTGATTTTCAAGGATTCCTAGACCTTGACATCACTTAATCTTTTTTTTTTTTTTTCATTGAGTTTACTGGTACTTTTTAGGTATACAGTACAGTTACATTCATCACTGGGATCTTGTACCTTTACATGATGTGTCTTGGTTAATATTTTTTCCCTATACCCCTGCCTTCCCTTACCCCCTGCACCCTTCCCTATTTACAAAGTCTTTGTTTCCATTTTTCCCTTTTCTCATATTTTTTTTCCCCTTCTTTCCTTTCTCCTACCCTTCTCACTTCTTCTACTCCTTTAGCCCTTTTCTTCCTATTTCACATTATCAATTATATAATTTGGACCTTATTTACACATTTAGTTCTTCGCACCAGAGCACTTAATCTTTTTTTAAACTATAGAACATCTGTGCATCCTGTTGTTTCCTCATTGTAGCCCACAAATCATAAACATTTCTTCATATATACGTTTATTTTGTTGCTTAACAAGTAAAACCATATTCTCCCAGGATCAGATTTGCCCGCAAGAGCTTTTTCCTTTCACAAGATATGATTTACAAAAAGTAAGTCAGATGTGGAGGCACACACGTGTAATCCCATCACTCTGGGAGGCTGAGGCAGTAGGATCTTAAGTTGCCCAGTCTGGACAATTTAGTGACTTATAGTGAGATCCTGTTTCAAAACAGATGGGATATAATTCAGCAGGAAGGCCCTAGGTTCAATCCCCAGTATGGGGCATGGTAATACAGGGTGGGTTACAAAGTATACAGACAAGAAATGTAAATGTGCATATTTTTCAACACCAGAATGAGATTTTAAACTATGCAGTAATTAAGACTATGTTTATTTCTTGTGCATTATCTACTGTATCTAGTACTATTTTGAATAAAAAGTGAGAAGTAGGGCTGAGAGTGCATACACACACACACACACACACACACACACACACACACACGCAGCTCAGTGGCAGTGTTTGGCTACCACATGCAAGGCCCTAGGTTCAATCCCCAGTACTAAAGGAGGAAGTGATTAGAAATAATTTATAGGGCTGGGGATTTGGCTCAGTGGTTCCACCATCTGCCTCACAAGTGCAAGGACCCTAGTTCGATCCCTGGTACCCTCCCCAAAGAAATAATTTATAAATTGATAAAAATTCAATGTATAAATTAAATTAAGGTGGAGATATTAATTTAGTGTTTCACATACTCTTTTTACCGCATCTACATATGTATCAGTAATAGGGATTTGTTCTGATTAGGATTTCAAAACTCATAAACATTGGCAGGTTCATACTTCTGCACAAATTCAAATGCCAGCACAATGTTCAGAAACCTGTTAATGACTACTCCTTTAATACCACTATCTCACATCTGAGAACTCTCAGCACTTCTGTTATCAGAGAGAAGTATTACAAAGAAGACACTCTGCAGTCAGACACTAGACTGTAAATCCCACTTCTACCTTTTACTAGCTATGGCCTTATACAAATTACTCAACTTCTTTTTGACTTAAATTATATTTCTATAAACTGGAAGAAGAACTACCATCTAAAAAGATTACCATGGGGACAGAAAATGGCACTTGAAAATTCACATGGCATATCAAGAGAAATCAAATGTTAGATATTTTTATTTTCTATTGACTTAGATTTCAAATCTGAACTTTTTTTTTTCCATGAACACAGTTCCAAATGTTGCTTAATTTGATTAGCACAGTGTGCCAAGTTAGGATAGCCTATAGAGCTACCAGTAATTTTTTAAATAGGGTGGAAATGTGAGAGAGGTCATGGCACTTGCTCATGCCTCACTTCCCCCCAAAAAAACTCAGGGGAAAATTGAAAATTTGTACTTTCAGATGCAGCAGATGAATAAATCACATAAAATATGCATATATTTAAAAGTTCAGACAAGTCATAACTTTTAATAAAAAGGTTTTCCATATTATTATAAAATGGGTCAAGAGGAGTATATCAAAGTCCAGAGCCTACAACTAAAAAAAGTTTTATATCTTGAATATGCATGGCAGAATCATCAACATTGTGAAAGTTAACAATCAACACATTGTGAAAGTTGCGATTTTGTTGCATTGAACTTTTTTTTGTCATGGAAAAAAGAACACTTATCTTAGAATAAAAGCTGGAATAATCTATTTTTTATATGAAATATATGGAAAGCCATGGATATTCCATACCTTATTGATGGTAATGATGTTATTTGCAATTACAGCTAGTAATCCCACATCTGTTGGCCTGTGAACAAGAAGCAGTAGTTAAAACTGAACAAATCTTTAAAAAGAAGCCTTATCTCCTCTAAAAGATAATTCATTTCTAAAGTTCACTTACTTCAGTTTTATTATCTGATTGTAAAGCTGTAAAGCCTCCTCTGTACAGCCCTGAAGCTGCAGAATGTAGGCCATCTGACCGTGAATGATGGCCAGTTCTGTCTGTGGGTCTTCCTCTGTGCCATCCTAAGGAAAACAAGAAACGTTTTTTCCTGTACATTTTCCAAACTGATCTACTTTTATATACCAAGTGACACAAACATATGAAAAATATATAATCCTTGGTAAGACAGTAATATCCCCCCGAGTCAGTTCTTTAAAATTTAAAACTGGCACCAAAAGAGAGTTAAATTTAAGGGAAAATGCCAAAAAGATCTTGAAAGAAGATGACAACAAACTTGGAAATACCATGTATTGATCATTACTTCTAAAACCCAAGAATGAAAAAATAATGTAAAAAGTCCACATGCAAGTTTAGCTTTTTACAATATCCCTAAGTTTTAGAAACACAATTTTCTCCTAAGAACACATTTTTAAGATGCTTGTCAATTCTACCATAACTTCAGCCAAAATTTATAAAATACTCTAGAAAGAACTTAAAAAGTTGGAATTCTATAATTAGTTTTATAACTAACTCTGTAATTAGCTCTCTTAACTGATGTTCCAGATGAATCCATTCTTCAGTGCTCCTAGAGCGTTAGCTGATGATACTCATGTATGGTGAAAGCTCAAAGCTAGTAGGCTCTTACCTTTACTAACCCAGCACCCTGGAGCTAACTTGGTGATGCTGACCAGAAGTCCTATGCTTGTGCCCAAATATGTTATGCCAATTATGTTTGATACAGAAATGGTAAAACTTAAACACTATAATAAAAGATGAGCTATGAAAGTGAAGAGAGACTTGTTTTGTTGTTGTTGTTACCGGAGATCGAACTCAGGACCTTGCACTTGAGGCAGGCACAGTGCCACTCAGCTAAATCCCGGGTGAAAAGAGACTTGTTTTTATTGTTTTGTTTGTTTGTGTGGGTACTGGGGATCAAATTCCAGTCCTTGTGCTTGTGAGGCAGGCACCAGAACCACTGAGCTAAATCCCTGGTCCAAAAAGAGACTCGTTTTAAGGTCAACCATGCAGAATGCTCAGGAAGATTTACTAAAGGCAAATTCCTACAGAAAATTACTGTCTGATTAGATATGAGCCAAACAATGGTGATTGGTAAGAGTTAGTACCTATTAAATCTCTGGAATCAAACTATTTCCTATTAAAAAAAAAAAAAAAAAAAAAAAAAAAGCAGACATCAGGAATGCTGGATTATGTATGGATTTTAAAGAAAAACACATGGAATTCCTTTGAGCAGACCTGCAGTCAAGACTTTAGTCCCATAACCTAAACTAGAAGAATTTTTATATTAAGATAAAATGCTTATGGTATTACGATGTCTCACCTGAGTAGACTTCATCAAATAACATCAAATAACTTCATCAATCATGAGTGTTCCTAATATGATTATATTAGAATATAAATATATATGTATGTATATATATATATATATATACATACATATATATTTATTTTGTTGTTGTTTTGTTGGTACCAGGGATCAAACTCGGGTCCTCGCGCTTGCAAGATAGGCAGCGGAACCACTGAGCTAAATCCCCAACCCTACCATCTATTATAAAAAGTTGGTAAATAGTACCGTGAAACTTCCTACTAACTATATTAGAAGGGTAAAGTTTGAGTTTAACAACAAAATACTTACAGAGTCTTCTGAAAATGACTGACGGCAAAGATCTACAGGAGAAAAATTGTTTTAAAATTAGTATTGCTGGGCAATTACCATGTTTTCATCATACCAAAGAGCAAGAACTAAACTGAGGAAATTTAAAGATAATCCTTTTTTTTGGTATCCAGAAATTGAACTCAGGGCCTTGTGTTTACCATTAAAAATAATCTTATTAACAAGAAAATGTAAAATTTATGTTAGCATCACATTTACTGTATAAACATTACTGGTCCATAGCTGGGTGTGGTCACACACTTATAATCCCAGCACCCTGGAAGGCTGAGACAGAAGGAATGAAATTCGAGCCTACCTGGCCAATTAGAAAGATTCCCTATTTCTGAACAGGGATTTAGCTTAGTTGCATGGTACAGCACCTGCCTTGCAAGTGCAAGGTCCTGAGTTTGAGTCTTAGTACCAGAAAAAGAGAATTAAAAAAAAAAAAAAAAAAAAAAAAAAAAAAAAAAAAGACTTGATCTAAGACCCTATCTCTGAAAGGAAAAAAACATGTGAGAAACTAGAGATATAGCTCAGTGTAAAGGATCTAGGTTCAGTATCTACTAATCTGACCATACACTAAAAAATAAGATAAAATTAAACAGGTCCTTGATTATCAGTCTCTAGCACTTTTCCTTTCATTTGTATTCTCCACACTAACATTTTTAGAAAGTGTAAATGTAATAATAATTGATTGCAAAACACAAATTACAAAAAAAATAAAGATAATAATTCCACCATCTAATAAACACTGCTAGAATTTTAGCTATTTGTTATATAAACCTGCATTAAAGTGGAATATTCTATATACTATATTAACTCACTCCCATTTAATATAATTTTTTTTGGTACCAGGGATTGGACTCGGGTCTTTGCATTTGTGAGGCAGGTGGTGGCACCACTGAGCTAAATCAGCTGCCCCTGTCCCATTTAATATACTATGGACTTGTGTTATAATAAATATGAATCAACATTATTTTTTACATTTTAGTTTTAATTACTGCATGGCAATCTATTTTGGGATTACAGTAAATTGTAGTCAATCTTTTAATGGCATAGAAACTTATGCTCTAAGATTTTGTTCATATATCCTTTTAATTAATATTCAGATACATACATGAGTTTATCAAATTATTTCCTTAAAATAAATTTCTAGAAATGGAATTCAAAGAATGCAAACTTTTAAATCTTACACATTGCCAAACTGTCCAGTGTGAAGTCTGGAGTGCTTTTACACTCAAGCCTGCATGGTATGAGGGTGCTCTTCTGTATCACTGTCAATACTGGGCATGACTGAGAAATTTTCCTTCTTTCTGAGACAGGGTTATACAGGTTGATCTGGAACTACTAGGTGAAATGACTATCCTGTTTCGGCCTCCCAAGTGCTGGAAGTAGGGCACATGCCACCACAACCAGGAAAATTTTTTTACTTACTTACTTACTTGTGGTGCTGGGCATCAAACCCAACACCTCAAGCATATTAGGCAAGCACTCTACTGAGCTACGTCCCCAGCCCCTAAATTCTAGTCCTTAAATGGATTTTTCTTCTCATGATGCTCTGATATTTATTATTTTAACTTTAAAATTTTTTATTCGGTACCGGGGATCGAACTTGGGTCCTTGTGCTTGCGAGGCAGGTGGCGGAACCACTGAGCTAAATCCCTAGAACTTAACTTTTAAAATTTAACAGTGTTCAAATGGAAAGGGGAACAAGGGAAGAGGGAGGGAGGGAGGAAGGAAGAGATAAGAAAAAAAGTGAAAATAGAAGGAAAACATGGAAACAAAGCTTTTGTACATAGGGAGGGAAAGGGGCTTGAGGTGGGAGAATGGAATAAATATTTTAAAAAATTTAATAGTAAAGCAGACCCCATTTCATCTCTTTTTTTCATTCCCCACCATTCACTGAAGTCCCTATAACAACATTTTTATAGTTTCTGCAGATAATGTACACAGAAGTCTAAATGTTTCAGGAACTGAAAATTGAAATGTTTCATTTTGTTTTCCTCCCTCCTTTCTTCCTTGTCTTCCTTCCTCCTTCCTTTTTGGTGCTGGGATTTGTCCTAGGGTTTTGTGTATGCTAAGCTCACACTCTACTACTGAGCTACACTCCCTAACCCCCTTTTTTCCTTAATTAAAAGCTTTAAAGCATGTAAATATTGTATATAAAAACATACTAGAGTTAACAATGTGCTTGAATGGTTCTAGAAATACATACATGTAATGATGCTGTGTTTGCATGCACACTCGTGCTGAAGCACACATAGCATATTAACTACCACAGCAGAATAATCCAACAATTCTAGTAACTAATACCGAATGTTTTACTGTATGTCTTGTACTGCTGTAAATGCTTGACATTAAGTCACTTTATTTACATGTAACAATCATAATAGTTTGCTCAAAAAGCTAATCCTCAATGTTTAAATTTTAAGGTAGAATAAACTGAACATGAACAAGTGGACTGCCTTACTGATTAGACAAAAAAGATATGGTCAAAATGAAAGAGTCTAGATGAACTCTGAATAATTCCCACTGCCTCAGTACTATTTCCATTTAATATTTCATAAATATCAAATGCAATTTTTGGAGGTACTCTACAAGTTTTATCCACATTATGTTAACAGCAACCTTAACAAACTTCCAACCTTCAGCTCTCTGTAGGATTTTCATTGCCTGGTTCAGCTGGCCTTGTCCAATCAGTGCACAGGCGGTGTTGTAGCACAGTTCGTGGGTGCCTTCCTGGAGGCCCAAGTTCTCCTGTCATGGAGCAGAACACCAGTCAAACACCAGGCACAAGGACTATTCCATGGCTGCATGGATGCATGAGAATACTCACTGGAACCACTTTTTCCCAATTGCTTTGAGCTGCAACAACTGCAGAAAGGTTTGTTTTCCTTTCCTCATCATAATCATCTTGGGAATTTCGCACGAGATCTCTATACACAGCTAAGCATTCATCATAGCGTTCCAAACGGTATAACTAAGGAACAAAAAGCAAAAAAAAAAAAAAAAAAAAAAAAAAAAAAAAAAAAAAAAAAAAAAAAAATCAAAGAACACTAATAATAGCGTTATATCCCTGACACCACACTAATGTTCTGGGGAATCACTAAATGAGAATCTAATTCAGCATAACACAGGCAATTATATGTTTATCTTATATAATTTTTAAATTAGTTCTGTGTGCTATAAGACACTTTCAAATACAATACATCTTTACTATATAACAGATTTGTAAGCATTATTCAAGTTAGAAAAGTAATTTTTAGAGTCAGGCATGGTGGGAGGCTGAGGCAGGAGAATCCCAAGTTGGATCTTGGCATGAGTAACTTAGTAACTAGTGAGACCTTATCTCAAAATAATAGTGGGAAATGGGAAGGTCCTGGGTTCAATTTCCATTAATCTCCCCTGCCCCCGCAAAAGAATTTCTTTTAACTTCCTTCTTGAAATCAAAGTACCTAGAAATTTTTCTAAGAAATCTATTCTATTACCTGAATCTGAATTACAATAAAAAATTTCCACAAGACAAAATAATTACTAATCCCCAGTAAATAGGAAAAAATTTAAATATCATAATTACTATTTTATAGAAATTCATTATATATAATATTTTCTTGTTTCTCAGAATCAGCTATTGTACAGAATAATCTCAATAACTCACAATTTCTGCTTATTCAAGGTGCTGCTTTTTTTTTAATGGTGGCAGTGTTTTATATTTATTAAAGCTAGAAAAAAATCAGAAAGCTGGGGGGAAAATAGGCCCTGCAAACTGAGTTTGGGTTCAGTAAAAATGGAGGAAAAAATAAAAATAAAAAATACACCAAGTGTAGGGTGGACTATCATGAAGAGGCATGAAAGCCTACTCAAGCTGCTTTTTCTTTTTAAAGAGGTATGAGAAGGATTAGAGGTAGGTACAGGATACACCCAAGAGCAGAGTGTGGGTGCTCAAAGAAATGAGGTACAATATAGTTGGAAATTGGGGATCTTTTACATGTTTTAGGAGGTGGAAATCTGTGGAACTAAATAATCTATAGTCCTACAGGATGGAAAGATGTCCTGTCCTTAGTGAGCCATTTCTCTGGGAAATGCCAAAGTGTAGTTCTTTCATGGGTGAAAGTGGACCATTTGCAAGTAAAAAGGAATAGTCAGACCCTTTACAGCTAAAGAAAATTGCACATATTTGAAGTCTGGGAGAAGGGAAAAAAGTAAATAAGCCAGGCTTGTCGTCTGAAGCTGCAATTTTTCTTTAAACTATAACTTTAAAATTTCTGATTTCCTTGTATCCTTTCTACTTATTTCTTTTATCCTACCTCATTTCTTCTGAGACTTTGGTTCCTTATTCTTTTTTTTAGTTTTTTGAGACAGGGTCTCATTATGTAGTTGAGACTGACCTGGAACTCACTTTGTATCCCATGCTGGTCTCGAACTCACAGTGATCCTCCTGCCTCAGGCTCCCGAGGGCTGGGATTACAGGCATGTGCCACCATGCCCAGCCTGTTCCCTTATTCTTAAGGGGTTGCAGAGTTAAAGCTGTTCTTGTTTTGTTTTTTTGGGTGCTGGGGATCGAACTGGGGCCTTTGGAATTGCAAGGCAGGCAGCAGAACCACTGAACCAAATACCTGGCCCCATAAAGCTGTTCTTAAAGGACAACAACTACCTCTTTGTTAATCTGTCCATGTACAACAGAGACTGATGCCCTTCAACACTGAAATGTAACCAGTTTACACATTTCTGTCCTCTCATCAATAGTAGCCCTATTTTATATTGCTTCATTTATATCATTTATTTATTTTTGAGATAGTCCTGCTATGTGATTCAGGCTGGCCTCACACTTGAGGTGATTCTCCTGCCTCAGCCTCCCAGTACTGGAATTATAGGCGTGCACTACCACACCTGGCTCAAGTTTAATTTTATGTCCCAAAAACAATATTAAAAAAAAAGCATTATTTTCAGAAACAATATTTGTCCTATGGGATAGAAGAAATCACCAAAATATGTATCTATCATGATTTTAAACTTAGAATTAAAATATCAGTTAAATACTAGAAATAGTTTCAAACCTGTGTAAATATATAAGCTCATTAGCCTCCATCTTTCTAATTAAAAAATCAGATTTCATAGCTATTTATATTTTTTCTTTCTCATTTTGAATTTTTGGAGAGTCTCACTATGCAGTTCAGGCTGGCCTTGAACTCACTGTAGCCCAGGCTGGCTTCAAATTTATGGTGATCCTCCTGCTTCAGCCTTCCTAGTGCTGGGATCACAAAGCACTAGGCTAGTTCTTTAATTTTCTAGTTATACCAAGTAAGTGGTTTGTTCATAGACTATGACATACACCACTTATACAAACATATACAAATGAAGATCAAAAGGAGAAAACGTGCTGGGCAGGACTGCAATCTCAGCTACTTGGGATGATACAGAAGGATCATAAATTGGAGGCCAGCCTTAAATTTGCCAGCAATTTAGCAAAACTCTCTTTTTTTTTTGTTTTTTGTTTTGGTTTTTTGAGACTGACCTGGAACTCACTATGTAGCCCAGGTTGGTCTCAAACTCCCAGGGATCCTCCTGCTTCAGCCTCCCAAGTGCTGGGGTTATAGGTGTGTGCCACCACACCTGGCCTTAGCAAAACTCTGTCTTAAAATAACAAATTTTTAAAAAAGGGCTGGGGGTATAGCTCAGTGGTATAATGTCCCTGGGTCTGATTCCCAATACTGGAGAAAAAAATTTTCATACTTCAAGAACTGATTTGGTGGCTAGTCTTGTGGAACTTCATGATGGGCTGGGTTTCCTCAACTTTGACCTTGTTAGAGGCATGCTCATTCAGGATGATGATGATCCACAGGTGTTTAAAGCAGTACTCACCACTTGTCCATATAGCTCTTTTAGTTTGTCTGTCTGCTGGTTGGCACTTTCTATTGTCTTCAAGGCATTTTCAATTCTGTTGAGCCTGTACTCACAATATGCCTTCTCAAAGGAGAGAGAGTTACTAAGAAAGAAAAAACAAATAGCTGATCATTATCTCTACAAGACAGAACACTCACTCTATGCCAGATCCTGCTCTAGCACCTGGGATGTGTTAATTTATTCAATCCCCAGAACAGTAAAGGAAACAAAGGTTAGTGACTTATCCAAAAATCACACAGGCTCATTAAGTGCCAGAAAATCTAAATCAATTTCCCTAGCCCCTACTCTTTTCATGGATATTGAGAATTATTGACCTTTTAAAAATAACACTGAAGAAAGTAATTATGAATCAATAAAATAACCAACTACCTTAGAGACAAGGATAATCCGAACACTTAAGTGTCTATTTGATTAATTCCTTAAGTCTACTAATAGCCAAGCATGATGGTGCATACTTGTAACCCTAGCACCCTTGAAGCTGATGCAGAAGGATTTCAAGTTCTTGACGCAGCCTGGGCAATTTAGCAAGACCTTGTGTCAATAAATAAATAAATTTAAAAAGGGCTGAGATGTAGCTCAGTATGAAGGCTTGAAGTTCAATCCCTAGTACCACACACATGCTAAAAACAAAAGACAACAACAGCAACAAAAACAAAAAACCAAACCAAAACTATTAATAAAATAATAGGCTTTATGAGGCTTCTTCTAATTTGTTCAAGAAGCAAATGATTAGCAAATAAAAAATAACTATAAGTAAAAGAACATAATACTTGCAATCCAACAACTGGTACATACACAACTAAGAAAGCAACATTTATAAACTGAGCACGGTGGTGCATAAGGCTGAGTCAGGAAGATGGCAAATTCCAGCCTAGCCTAGGCAAATTAATGAGATTTTGTCTCAAAATGGAAAATAACTAAAAAATTAAAACAACGAATCATTTTGAAGTTTCAACCATAATCTCCAAAGAAAAATATCTATCAAAACAAATAGCAATATTTTACTTACCTAATAAATTTTTTGGAAAACTTCCTATCTCACATAATCCAGTATTTTAAATTTTAGTATAAACATGTTTAATAGCAGCAAGCAACATCCCTTTTATTTTCTTTATTTTTTCCAGTACTGGTGATCAAACTCAGGACTGCGTGAGGTAGGTGCAGTAAATCCCTGACCTTTCCTTTTATTTTTAATAAAGTTATAAAATTAGTTTTCAGTTTG